TGGCTGCCTTTGGCAGCTTATGGCTGCTCAGCTCAAGATGCCGTGTTCAATCTTAATTGTGGGGGGCGGGGGTGGGTGCAGCCCACCATCCCATAAAGGTGTCAAACCAGCAACCTTGCTGCTAAGAGCATGCACTCTCATCAGCTCAGCAGTAGCTCAACTTGGGTGCAGCTCACCCAATGTGGGAATCCAACTGGCAACGCTGTTGCTCAGAGCTCGTGCTCATAACCAACTGAGCCACTCGGCTGGCCAATAAGTTCATATTTTTAAGGAATCATTCTTGTTGTATTACTAGCTTCATAAAACTTTACAGTGGGTAATTCACTTTGATAATCAAAAGTGTCTTCTAAGTTTTCTTTCTTGTACCATTAAGCTGATGTTAGTGGTAAAATATCAGTTTGAATTTGAAAACTATTAATAAGGAAAAGTTTTTGACTCATGCAATGCATTAAACACGTGTGTGTTTTATTTTCATTAGTCATTTTGCATTTTACTATGTTTTCGTTCCTTTTTTGTGTTCATACATGGTTATTTTTATTTATATCTTCCTCTCTTCTATACAACAGGCTTGAGGCAGCTCACATTAAGAATACAAACAATAAAACCTATTGAGATATGAATAAGAGCTAAATCAAGACAGAGACATACAAGCATGGGGCCCACAAAGGCATGTGTACTTGCTGTTTGTGGTGGTCCTGTGCTTGTTTGCCCTCAGATTCATGCCTGACCCTTTCTGTTCTGTTTTGTATCTCAAGGGAGGATGATTCCAGTAGGTGAGTGATTCTAGTAGGTGGCGTTTTGCACATTTCCACATCAGCTAGCTTCTGTCTAGGTTTAGCCAATGGGAGGCACCAGCACAGTTTTGAGAAGTAGGAGGCAGGAGAAGGCTAGGGTCTTTTTCTCCCTGTCTGCCTCAGGTGGTATTGCAGTTGTAGAGCCAGTGTTTTTGTCAGACTCTGTTTTCCACTAGGTGTCCTTGGACTTGGGTCTGATAACATCACTGCTTTCTTCCTATGTTCCATAGGCTTGAGATGATAGTGGCTTCCTGCTGTGCCTCACAATCCCTGATTATGTTGAGTACAGTTAGAATCTTTTTATATCTAATATCTGTAGTATATTTAATAGCATTATGTCTTCTTTTTGATTTTTGTATATTGTGAAGTAATTGTGTACTGTGAAATAAATGGGCTAGGTACTGTTTTCATACTATCTTGTGTTCTTATGTGTCTTTGTGATTTTTGCCATTCTTTTCCCATTCTTTTTCCCCCCTTAAACTGTTTGATTTCTTCTCTTAGAATAGGAAGCTTAAAGCAGAGCAACCTTAAAGGGTTTTATTTTCTAAATCTGATCCTCACGTTACTCTCAACAGTGATACCACCTACTAAACACATGAATCAGACGTTCAGCATATGTTCTTTTCAAATATTTGTTGACTGTCTACTGTGTGAGGAAGCATCAAGTTGGGTGAGCTGAGAGTAAAAAGATAGATATGATATGGTCTCCGCTTTAAAGATGCTTTTAAGGGATTCTGAACAGTGGCCATGGTAGGAAGTTCTTATTGCTATCACCTTCAGTGGTAGGGCTTTATGGGAAAGTGCTGTGGACTCCCATATAATATAAACATATAATTTCTATCAATATGTAGTCCCACGAAATGTAAACAAAACCGTATTGTGAATCTAAAGAAATGGGAAGTTTTGGTATCTTTAAAAGAATCCAAAGTTCAGGTAACATTAGTTTTGTTCTGGCTTTTCAGCTAATTTTATATCATGGAGTAAGGTAATTAAAAACCTCTCAGTCTTTTGTAATATTTTATTAAAACAATTCATTTTAGAAAATCTGAAGGGATATTTATGATAATTTAGAATATTGTTAAAATTATCACATAGTTGTTTTGCATTAATCCCAATTTTTCCTTTCATGTCTATTTCTAACCCTAATTCTAATCAATGATTAAGCAAACTTTATAGTTCAGGTTAACACCTCAGCTTGGTGTCAAACTTCTTAGAGCTTTAGCCTCATTTTATGTAATAAGCTGGTAAGCTGCCCTACCTTAGCTTTTTCTAACTAGCCTTCTCCGGCCTAGATTGCTACTTTTTCAAATATTATACAGGAGGTGACTGCCAGGTAAAAACAGAGATTCAGTAGTTTTCTTTCAGTCCTGTTGCTGAAGGATTTACAAAATATTTCTGTCCTGTTTATGAAATACTATTATAACTTGATTAAAAGGTCTTAATAAAGAAATGTCTCCTCTCCCAAGCTTTTATTTTGAAACCTCTCAATGTACAGAAAATTAGGGAAAATTGTATGGTAAACATCATATATCTTTCATGTAGACTCACCATTTGCTAAAAAATTTTCTACATTTGTTTTTTATTTTTCCTTCTGTACAAATATATATGCTTTTTTGGGTACCATTTGACAGAAGTTGTATATATCATAATATTTTATTCCTAAATACTTCTTGTCAAAGGATATTTCTTGTACTTTTTTTTTCTTGTACATTCCCACTAAACTAGAATATGTAAGTGCTCGTGATGAATGATGCCAGAAGGTACACTGCTTGGAAAATCTCATTCTTCCATGACTGGATTTTCTCCAAATAAAGTTTTCTCCTCACTTTGTTTTTTTTTTTTTTAAGATTTTTATTGGGGAGTTGGGGGATGGGAACAGCGCTGGGGAATTTGGGGGGAAGGGGAACAGACAAGTTGCTGTCTTTCTGTTCTTCAGTCTAGTTGTGGAGGACGTTGCTTCACTGGCCCAAGTTGGCACCATCATTCCTCTCTTCCCGGGGGAGGCAGATCAGTTGCCGGCATCTGGACGGCAGCTCACTGCGGCTGCTGGCCGCTCATGCTGGCTGCTGGCCACACACAGTAGCCCATGGCAACCCACTGCAGCAGGGGCTGCAGCCTACGCCGTCGCCTGCGACTCAAGGCAACCCAGCTCCAGGTTGAGCTGTTGTTCAGCATCTTAGATATAGAGGGCAGTGTCACTGGCCCTCATATGTGGGATCCGAACTGGGGCCCTCTGGTGTCCCAAGCCAGCTTTTAACCAACTCACCACTCAGCCGGCCCTGTTGTTTTAGTTTTTATTAAGCATTTTCTAACCAGCTTCTACCACTACCCACCACCACTACTTTCAGTACTCCTTTCTGGTATCTTTTTTCTGCCTTTTAGTAAGCATATATATTCACATTTTGGTAAAATACAACAAAATTTGCCATTTTAACCATTTTAAGTGTACAGTTCGGTGGCAGTGTTGTACAACCATCATTACTAACTTTCCAAAACCTGCATCACTTCAAACAAGAAACCATAACCGTTAAGCAATAACTCGCCATTTCCCTTTCCCTTGGCCCTTGGTAACCACTAATCTATTATACTTTTTCCCTATGTAGTTGTCATTCCTAGACAGTCCATATAAGTGGAATCATACAATATTTGTCCTTCTTTGTCTGGCTTATTTCAATTTGCATAATGTCTTTAAGGTTCATTCATGTCATAGCACGTATCGGAACATCATTTCTATGACTAAATATTCTGTATGTATACACCACATTTTGTTGATCTCTTCACCTGCTGTTGGATACTTGGGTTGTTTTCATCTTTTGGCTATTGTGAATAATTCTGAAATGAACATTGGTGTACAAATATCTATTTAAGGCTCTGCTTCCAATTTTTAAGGTGTTTACCCTAGAAGTGGTATCGCTGGGTCATATGGTAATTTTATGTTTAGCTTTTTGAGGAACTGCCAAACTTTTTCACAGTGGCTGTACCATTTTATATTCCTACCAAAAACCTGTGAGGGCTCCAGTTTCTCTTCATCCTTGGCAACAGCTATTTTCCCTTTCTTTGGCTATAGCCATGCTAGTAGGTGTGAAATGGTCTCTCATTATGATGTTGGGCACCTTTTTGTGTTCTTATTGTCCATTTGCATATCTTCTTTGGAGAAATGTTATACGCATCTTCTTCTCATTTAAAATATTGGATTGTTTATTTTTTTGTTGAGTTTAGGAGTTCTTTATATGTTCCTAATAATAAGCCCATGTCAGATATATGATTTCCAAATATTTTCTTCCATTTTGTAGGTTGTTTTTTCAATTTCTGAATAGTCTTTTGATGCCCAAGAGTTTTAAATTTTGATAAAGTCCAGTTTACCTATTTTTTTCTTTTGCTAAAGTGTTTTCTTAGTAATGCATCTTAGTAATGCATCCATCAGCAAATTTATCATCAGTTGTTGTTGGATGATTTTCTCCCTGATCACAGATTAGGGCTTGAGCTGTTTTTTTTGGTCCAGGATCAACAAAAAATAATGATAGTTGCAACTGATCAAGTACCTAATATGTGCTAGGTGTCTTTGGGAAACTTGAGAAAAGAGAATTCTAAGACAGAAAAGGGTCATAATCTCATTCTTGCCCGATAAATTCTCCTGGAACCTCTTAACCTCCCAAAGACATGAGGAGATACAATCTTCCCCATCCTTTTCTGGAAGAAATTTTAAGTCAGAACTACTAGTATCTCGACTGCACTCAGGTTCCTGGTGTCTACCTAGGATCCTAGGCTCTGCCACACTTCAGCCTGTGGAGGGTCCAGGTTTCTTGTTTCTACATTTCATTGAATATTTTTAGCTCAGCTAGCTTTTTACCTTATCTGCCTAAGTCCACAGTGATCTTTACAAACTGCTTAAGAAACTCTAGGTACACAGATTCCTTAAGGGGGGACTAACTTTTGAACCAGACTTTAAATCTGTTTCATTGCACTAGAAAAGTGATCCCCCACATTTATAACTCTGAAATTCCTTTAAGTAGCTCTATAGGTGATGCTATTAATTAAAATAATTAGGCCTTTCCTATTTGTGGTTTGAGTGTTTTCTCTCTAGTATATTTTCTTTCAGATGACTCAATAATTGCTCACTTTTTCCTTCAAGCTATGAAAACACAAATATCAAGCGCTCTGCCAATGTTTAATATGGTTTATTCTGATTCCTCTCTCCCCCCTTAGCGGATCTAAAAAGAACGATTGCTGTCCTTTTGGATGACATTTTACAACGCTTAGTAAAGCTTGAAAACAAAGTCGACTATATTGTTGTGAACGGCTCAGCAACCAACACTACCAATGGTACTAGTGGGAATCTGATGCAGGTAACCACAAATAAGAGGATAAACACCTCGGGCAGCATTAGATAGCAGTTGAAGATCACCTCGGGCTGCTCCATCCACCATAGATTATATCCTACGGCAGAAAAGCTTTTCAATTGCTTACTAGGATAGAGTAACGCTTTACAATAAAAGCTCTACGCATTTTCAAGGAATATGCTGGATTCATGGAACTCTAATTCTGTATATAAATTCTAAAAGTTATTAGTTTGCTTTCAGGCAAGACTCTTCAATGCTGTACTATATCCTTAAAGGGAATTTGGTAACATGGTTGGTGCAGTAAGCAGGTAGGTGATCTCTGTATAAATCTTTTGTGTTTGAGATCAAGCTGAAACAAAAACACTGAAAGACATGGATTCATTTCTCTAAAATATTTATTTAAATATATGTAACATGTTTTTCACACAAGTGGGGAATATTATTATTGAGTCGTTTTGTCATTTGTTCTCGATATGTGTAACTGTTAGACTAATACTATTAGAGAGTGTGCTTACTTCCCGTATTATATTTTGTTACTCAGATTATGAGCAGAGTAAGGAAGTATAATGTTGAAAATAATGTTTTGAAATCATGACCCAAAGAATGTTTTCATTTGCACTTTGCTTCAGAATAACTGGAGGTTAATTATTGTGTATTTTAAAAGATTACATTTGTATGCGTATAATCTTGAAATGGGTAGTTGCCACTGTCTGTAACCTATTCTAAACATTGGGACAATTAAATAACCTTAAAATAATCTCTAATCTTATATGTAACATTTTCTTACATATATTCTGAAGAATAAAAGATATTTTTATGATGAGATTAAAAGTAAGTAAAGCAGTCATGATTTTTCACATACATGAATGTTAATTTAAAAGTTTAACCCTTTGAGTGTCTATGCTGTCAGGAAAGCACGTTATTTCCATATTTGGGTAATTTTTGTTTTTATTTTGTTGTCAGGGATGGGGAGACAGATATTTGTGAGACTGGGGCTCTTAAGTACTTTAGTCAGATATATCGAAGTGTAAAGGTATTTGTGCTGCATTAAATTGCTTGGAAAATGTTAACATTATATAAGAGTATCCTGCTTTATGAAATTTTGGATTTGTATAACAGGTACATTAGATATCCATTTTATATAATGACCACTTAAAAATAACATTAAAGATATAATTTAAATTATGAAGATTGACTATCTTTTCAGGAAAACGGCTAATGTATATAGCACAAGAGATCCTAATCTTGGGTAATTCTAGTATAGAGCAAAGGACACCTTTATTTAAATTTCTCCTGTAGCAAATTTAATTGCCATATGGTGCCCTATATTTCATAGTATTTATTCTCAATAATAACTGCTTAAGTGCAGCTAGCTTCTAGATTTAGACTATATTGAATTTTGTTTTGAATAGTGTATTGTTCATTATTATAATATGCTACCATATGTAGTAGCAATAATTATAATGTTTTATTAAAAGAAGTATGAGAAAATACTGTTTTATGACACAGAGCTTTCCAAACTTCTCTGTACTCTGTGAAGAAATTAATTACATACCGTTGCCAGGTGAAGTTTGGAATAATTGTTCAGTCTGTCTTATTAGATGTGGACTTTTTTGGTTTGTTTTCAGGGATGAAATAAAATATATTATTTGTACTTACAAAGTGTTGTAAGTTTTTTTCTTTAATGGTGGTTGTGCATTTGATAAATGGTTAATGATGAAAAGGAATCTTAGCTAATTTAGGGTTTTGTTCCATCAATTCCAGATGACTTTTTCAAAAGAGAGAAATGGAAGGTTGCCTTGTTCAGGATGTGAGCGAGGGAGTCCAGGGATGGATGGGAAGAAGTGTGGGAATTGTGATCAAAGGTGGATTCTTAGGTTTGTATACCCTCAAGTTGCAGTTTACTGTTGAGTTTTTACAAGTCATGCCTTAGTATTTATATCTTCGGTTAATCTTAGTTAATTAGCACATTAGCACAGAGGACGTCACTAAACATAATAAAACCTCTCAAATTTATTTCAGAATATCTTTGGGTTTACTTTAAGTACTACTTGTATACTGGTAAAAAAGTAATTTAAACATTATTTCACGTAGTTAATAAAAACGGGTCTCATTTGTCTTTCAAGAAATACTTAGGATCTTGACTCTGGGTTAAGTAGACTATAGAGGCCCAAGTCTATCTTTTTAGGGACACCACATTCTTCCTTTTTTTGAATTTATAGAATCTACCTCATCTCTAATTATGACTCAGAAGCCTGAAGTGTTAACAGCTTATATAGGGACCACTGACTTGCACATTTGGTTTAATTGCAAACACTGTTCTCTTTTTAACCATTTTGAGTAGAATAGCTATCAATATAGCTACACTGTTTTCCTTTTTTTCAGAGAAGTGTTTACCTGAAAAGGGAACATGATATAATGAAAAAGACAAAAACAAACAAACAAATAAAGACATTAATTGGAACCATTTTTAAAATACTTGAGAGCCCTGAATGATTTTAACAGCTTTTGGGTGGTGAAATGGTAGGGTTCATCTTTTGAGAGAATTTGAGAGCTGGAGAGGAAAAAGGAGAGAGAAACAAGTATGAAAATGAGAATAAATACAGAAAAGCAAGATGTGGGGGGAAATCCCAAATTTTTCTACGGAGGGATAACTGCTGTTGACATTTTAGTATGCAAATGTGAATCTGCTTTCCCCTGCCCACATTCTCCATTAACTTCTCATTTCCACTTAAAATCTAGTGTTCTCACTGTGGCCTCAGAAGCCCTAATAGGCTCCTGATGGCCTCCTAACCTCAGCTTTTACCACACGCCTTCTTCCTGCTTTCTCTTCAGCCATATTGGCTTTCTCTTCTGAGGACATACCAAATATGTTTTTGCTTCTGCAATTTCAAACTTGTATCTCTCTATTTGCAACTCTCACTCCCAGATATCTTCACGGTTCCCTCCCTGACATGCTCAAATGTTTACTTCTCAAGGGAAATTGTCTTTGACGACCTGCCTAAAATTGCATGCCTTTAGCTTTCTTCTTATCCTTTTAACTTTTCTTCATAGTTGTGATATACCTAACATTTTTTTTTAAAAGATTTTTATGGGGGAATTGGGGCGATGGGAACAGCGCTGGGGAATTGGGGGAAGGGGAACAGACAAGTTGCTGTCGTTTTTGTTCTTCAGTCTAGTTGTGGAGGACATTTTACTGGCCCAAGTTGGCACCATCATTACGCTCTTCCCAGGCGAGGCAGATCAGTCGCCGGCTTCTGGACGGCCGCTCACAGTGGCTGCTGGCCGCTCACGCTGGCTGCTGGCTACACACGGTAGCCTATGGCAACCCACTGCAGCAGGGGCTACAGCCTACCCTGTCACCAGCGACTCACGGCAGCCCAGCTCCAGGTTGAGCTGTTGTTCAGCATCTTAGCTGTAAACGACAGTGTCACTGGCCCTCATATGTGGGATCCGAACCGGGGCCCTCTGGCATCCCAAGCCAGCTCTTAACCATCGCGCCACTCGGCTGGCCCGTGATATACCTAACATTAAATCGTACATTAACTTCATGTTTTTTTTTCCTGATGCTTTTCAGAACCTAAGCTCCATGAAGGCAAGGACTTTATTTTGTTCGCTGATAAAATCTGGGCATATACAACTGTAGCTGGTGCACATAGGTGCCCGATAAATATTGGTTTAAATGAATTACTGAACCATTCTACACTTTTTGCTTTGTGCATCTGTACCTTTATTTATATTTAAAAAATTATATGATGCATTATTTTTGTACAACATATCATGAACTTCTTTCCAAGTCAGTACGTATATACCTTTCACGGTTATCCCATTGTGGGGCTGTATCACAGTTGATATATCTTTCACTCAATTATTAGAGATTTTGGTTACAGATAAACAATTTAGATCTAGGTGTGGGACAGGTCTAAAGCCTGTCCTCTTTCCATTATTCCATGTTGTCATTATTATTTTAAGTGCTAGAGGGTTACTTAATAAAGTGATTAATACTCATTTGGGAGAGACAAAGTAGTGAAATACCTCCACTAGAACAGAACTATAAGGATAGAGAAAATACAAAATAGGTGATCATCCCCAGCTCTTGTATGTCACGAGCAGCAGGCCAGATGCATTTTGCTCAGTCGGGAAAAGACTGGGAATAAAATGTATAGTGACTAATCCATAATTGGGTTAGAGAGCTGGGATGGGGATTGACTAGTGGTCAGACTTGTGCATAATCAGATCAAGTTTGCCATTTTACAGCTTTTGGCTTAAAATGAATTGGTAATATGAGGTCTGACAAGTTCACGAACTTGTTGCAATGATGTTGCTAACCTTTTTTTGACATTAGAGGGATTATTCATTATGAATTTGTTCCAACTGGACAAACAGTTTTAACCAAGTTTACTATTAGGAAGTGCTGAAAAGGCTGTGTGAAAAAGTTAGACGAAAACAATGTGAACTTTTCGCCAACAATTCATGGCTCTTGCATCACGACAATGCTCCAGCTCACACAGCACTGTCTGTGAGGGAGTTTTTAGCCAGTAAACAAATAACTGTATTGGAACACCCTCCCTACTCACCTGATCTGTCCCCCAATGACTTCCTTCTTTACCCAAAGATCAAGGAAATATTGAAAGGAAGACTTTGATGATGTTCAGGACATCAAGGGTAATACAACAACAGCTCTGATGGTCATTGCAGAAAAAGAGTTTCAAAATTGCTTTGAAGGATGGACTAGGTGCTGGCGTTGGTGCATAGCTTCCCATGGGGAGTAGTATTTTGAAGGTGACCATAGTGATATTCAGCAATGAGGTATGTAGCACTTTTTCTAGGATAAGTTTGTGAACTTAAATGTCAGACATTGTATTTTGAGGGGGATTCATGACAATGTCTTTTAGTATAATAAATTTTTTATTTTTAATTTTTAGCTGAGCCATCCTGCCACCTGTTGGCAGCTCAGCGGCAGCTCAGCTCAGGCAGTGAATCAAACCGGTGACCCTGTTGCTCAGAGCTCACCCTCTAAATTTTTATTTAAACATGCACTGTATGTTTTGATCAAACCATATATGTATCTTGCTTAAATGGAATGAAAATTTATGTTTTCAAATTCTTGTGTCAAGTCCCTCTCTTCAAATTATGCTTACTTGCTACTTAGTATAGTTACTTGGAGAAAGATTCCTCACTGAACCTGCTTGAAACTAGGCAACAGAGCTTTAAATTTGTTTTCAACAGTTTATTATGAAAATGTTAAACGTGCAGCAAGGTTGAAAGAATATGTCCACCACCACCTACATTCTACCATTCATTTTTTTATTATACTTTACCACATCTATCCATTAATCCATTTTTAATGCCATGAAGTATATGCCACTGTGGTTTCAGCTACTACTTCTGTTGCTGCCCTGATCCTTACACCTACTGTTCTGTGGGAGAATATTTTAGGGATAATGGCAAATGTACTTTGATCATCTGACAAGTTATCCAAAACAGGCTTATTGTTAGATTTCTCTGCTGCCCCGCAGACCCCTCTGCTGCTTGTGAGGCTCATCCTAGTGATAAGTGCTACCCGTACTCCCACCTGCTGGAGAGAGCAGCCAAAATGAACAATTCTTTTGGTGACGGCTCCTTGACTGCTTCACCAGTCCTAGACACACAAGCTGGTGATGTTTCTGCTTACATTCCAACAAATGTCATTTCCATCACTGATAGACAAATCTTCTTGGAAACAGAATTAGTTTATAAAGGTATCTGCCCTACCATTAACATGGGTTTGTCTCTGTCCTATGTCAGATCTGCTGCTAAACCAAGGCCATGAAGCAAGTGGCAGGTATCATGAAGCTGGAATTGGCTCCTTTTTGTGAGGTTGCTGCTTTTGCCCAGTTGGGTTCTGACTTTCCTGCTGCCACTCAACAACTCTTGAGTCGTGGTGTACATCTGAGTTGCTGAAGCAAGGACAGTACTGTATGGCCATTGAAGAATAAGTGACTTTTATTTATGCTGGTGTGAAGGCGGCATCTTGATAAACTGGAGCTGTTTCTATTTTATTTTTTGTTTTTATTTATTTATTTTTTTAAAGATTTTATTGGGGAATTGGGGGAGGGGAACAGCCCTGGGGAATCGGGGGAAGGGGAACAGACAAGTTGCTGCCCTTTTGTTCTTCAGTCTAGTTGTGGAGGACGTTGCTTCACTTGCCCATGTTGGTATTATCGTTGTGCTCTTCCCTGGTGAGGCAGATCGGTTGCTGGCCACCAGACGGCCGCTCACGGCGGCTCTTGGCAGCTCACAGCTGGCTGCCGGCCGCTCACACTGGCTGCCGGCCACTCATGGTAACTTATGGCAACCCACTGCAGTAGGGGCTGCAGCCTACCCCGTCACCGGTGACTCATGGCAGCCCAGCTCCAGGTCGAGCTGTTGTTCACGATTTTAGCTGTAGAGGGCAGTGTCACTGGCCCCCATATGGGATCCGAACCGGGGCCTGCTGCTCAGAGCTGGCGTCCCAAGCCAGCTCTTAACCAACGCGCCACTTGGCCGGCCCCATTTTTTATTTTGTTGTTGGAGTATTTATAAGGAAATCTTAAATGGCATGATATTTTATCCTACTTCATTATACTTTAAAAGAAAAAAAATTGTCTTATGTAACCACAAAGCCATTTTTACATCTAGCAAAATGAACTATCCATTTAAGTTTTAGTACAAACTTTTAAAATTTCCCTAGTTGTCTTAAAAAATATCGTTTTACAATAACTTTTTCAAATTGGAATAAACAAGGCCCACATATGGCTCTTAGAGCCTCTGAGATCTATTTTCATTTTCATTTCCCGCTCCCGAACTCCATTTACTTCTTGAAGAAACCGGGTCAGCAGTCCTGTAGAATGTCTCA